GAAGCCCTTTGAACCCCATAAAATTGGGTCCCTAATCCATGAACTATTGGAACTCATTTACAAAACTTTTCTTAAACCTTACATAAATGTATAGCCTCATACTATAGAATTAGAATTTATAATCCCTGTTCCATGATGAGATATCTTTGAGCTATAATGTATCTTAATTAAAACTATCTTTAGATAAGTTTTTTTCCTCCAAAAGCATTTTATCAAAAAATCTGATTTAAATAAAAAATCTGATTGTTTTGATTTTTTTTAAAAATCATTGATTTTTATCCACCTGATTTTTCATCAGACACTTCTGTAGTTTTTATAAACAAGAAAACAGAAAATTTATGCACTCTACCAGGTTCAGATTCCATAATGTCCAGAACTGCTATATGCTTTTCAGAACAAATAAAAGCATTACATGTTCCTTGCCCCAAAAAGCTCACACTTTTAATTTTTGATTTGACTTGTGGCTGAAGAGGAAAGGAGTAGGGCAAGAGTTACTATGAGAATAACACATGGTTACTTAAGGCTTGTCCACGCTTGGAGTTATTCTGTAGTAGTTAGATGTTTAGGGCAGGAGGGTTGCAGAAAGCAGGCTTGTGTCTGTATGATGCATGTACCACCATGTGCCTTGTCTGAGTGATGGAGCGGGGTGTTAATTGCCTCCCTCACTTCACGGGAATCTGCCTCAGATCTCCACAAAACATTCATGGAGATACTGGGCAATCCGCTGCCGCAGGTTCTTTGGCAGAGCTGCTTTGTTTCTTGCCCCATTAAGGGTAACTTTTCCTCGTTACTCTGCTGTCACAGGGGAATGGGGGGACCATTGCTGCACACAGGTGAGCCGCATAAGAGCCAGGGTGGAAGTTGCAGTCTTGGAGAAGAACCTTCCTTGATTCCCTGCTCACCCTCAGCAGTGAGATATCTTCCATAATTAACACAGCCTGGGGAAAATGTGGGGACAGTAATGATTATAAGGCCCATTCCCTACACTGCTGACTCTCCCCAAGAGCTATGTGCCCAGTGTACAGTATGGTCCTGGAATACTAATTTCCCCTGTGATTACTCACCATTTTGAGGGTCTTGTGGCTCATGTGTGCTGGCCTGGGGTCAGCCAGTTAGTGATAGGTATGTGAATAGTGGCTGTGTTTTAAATAACTGAATCAGTGGTCTCTGTGTTGCAAACAATACTGCTTCTGTAAAATGTTGGCAGAATTAGAAAGCGGCCACCAAGAACTAAAGAGGACTTTCTGCATGATGTCATGATGCACTCCGCAGCCGAAAAACAAGAATTGAAGGAATGGCAGGACAGCGAGAAGAGGGACTGAAAGGAGAACGTGGCGCGCCAGAATGAAGCCACGGAGCAGCTCTTAAACATTATGGAGCACCAAGCGGACACGCTCCAGGTGCTACTAGCACTGCAAACTGAGCAGCTCTGCGCCCACCTGCCCTCCCCTGCAGCTGCTGTCGCAAAACTTTTTCCTATGTGCCCCCCAGACCCAACCAACACACAGTTATCAACCTCCTGGCTCCAATCTGTACCTGCGTCATTCCACTCCTCCCCTGTCATAGTCCAGCATTGTGGACTCCAGTACCCACTGCACTCAACACCCGGCCCTCTGCAGTTTAATCCTGCTGCACTGTACTCCAAAGGAGAAGGTTGGATAGGATACCTGAACATACACAAATCTTTAACTGTCCCAGGACCCCACCTCCTCCTGGGACCCTCCCGTTCCCCATCCTCCTCAATGCTGATGTATTTTTTTTGTTTCTCTCTCTCCTCCGGTTGTTGTTTTTTAATAAAAGAATTGTTTTGGTTTGAAAGCAATCTTTATTCCATTAATTGAAAGCAAACAGAGCCTCGCAAAGCAACAGGCAATTTTCTTAAATCTTCATAGTGCATCGTCTGTACCAATCACAATCATCTCCTAGAATTACAAGCACTGCCCTCCCGAGCATAGCAACACATATTAGTGGCTTTCAGCTTCAAATTGCTGCCTCAAAGCATTCCTGATGCTTGTGGTCCGGCGCTGTGTCTGTCTAATAGCCCTGGTCTCTGGCTGTTGAAATTCAGCCTCCAGGTGTTGAGCCTCAGTGGTCCAGCCCTGAGTGAAGCTTTCACCCTTCCCTTCACAAATATTATGGAGCGTACAGCATGCGGCTATAAGCATAGGAATATTGTCAGCAGCCAGGTCCAGCCTCCAATATAGGCAGTGCCAGTAGGCCTTTAAATGGTCAAATGCACAGTCAACAGTCATTCTGCACTTGCTCAGCCTGTTGAACTGCTCCTTGCTGCTGTCAAAGTACCCCGTCTATGGCTTCATAAGCCACAGCATTAAGGGGTAAGCAGGGTCTCCCAGGATCACAATGGGCATTTCGACTTCCCCTACGGTGATCTTCTGGTCCGGGAAGAGAGTCCCCACTTGCAACTTCCTGAACAGGCCAGTGTTCCGAAAGATGCATGCATCATGCACCTTTCCGGACAAGTCTGTGTTAATGTCTATGAAATGCTCACGGTTATCCACAAGCGCCTGGAGAACCGCTAGAAACACCCCTTCCGATTAATGTGCTAGGTGGTCTGGTGCCAGAATTGGAATATGCCTGCCATCTATCGCCCCCTGCAGTTAGGGGAAGCCCATTTGTACAAAGCCATCGACAATGTCATGCACTTGCCCAGAGTCATGGTCTTTCAGAGCAGCATGCGATTAATGGCCCTGCACACTTCTATCAACATGCGTCCAACAGTCAACTTTCGCACTCCGCACTGGTTAGTGACTGATGGGTAGCAGTCTGGAGTAGCCAGCTTCCATAGTGCAATCACCGTGCGCTTCTCCAGTGGCAGGGCAGCTCTCCTTCTCATGTCCTTGTGCCGCAGGGCTGGGGCGAGCTCCTCACAGTCTTATGAATGTGGCGTTCCTCATCCGAAAGTTCTACAGCCAGTGCTCATCATCCCAGACGTGCATGACAATGTGATCCCGCCACTCAGTGCTTGTTTCCCGAACCCAAAAGTGGCTTTCCACTATAATCAGCACCTCTCTGAATGCCACAACCAATCTCGTGTCGTAGCTACTATGCCTGGTGAGATCAATGTCGCACTCCTCTTGCCTTTGTAGTTTAAGGAATACCTCCACTGCCACTCATGACACGTTAGTGAGAGCGAGCAGCATATTGGGCACCAGTGCGGGATCCATTCCTGCAAACCAAAGAGGCAGAGCATGCAGTACACAAACCATTGAAAGATGGCGCCAAATGCAGACAGAAGCACAGAGATTGCTGGGATGCAAAGTAATGCATCATGGGACATTGGGACAGGACCCAGGATGCCGCGTGACCCCCTCTGCTTTCCCACAACTCTTAGCGGGGGAAGAGGAATAGATTCTCTGTGGGATAGCTGCCCAGAGTGCACCGCTCCGAATACCGCTGCAAATGCCGCGAGTGCGAACACGCTATTGCGCAGGCAGCTGACAGTGTGAACACACAACAGCGATTTCCCTTCAGTGCTCTCTGAGTGGCGCTGTAAGTGCCGGCGATGTAACTCGGCCAGTGTAGATATACCCTCGGTGTCACCGCTAAATACAAGGTGGAACAGCTTGTTTAACATAAGTAGTTAACACATTTCAAGAGACCATTCAAGGTGAAGTGGCCAGTTAACACCTCTTCAGTCATAGGGGGAAAGGAGAAAAGAAAAAAAAAAAGCTGAGAGCCAGTCTTTTATTGATTGTTGTAATAAGCCATAAATCCAAGTGTTTCTATTCAGTCCACGATTTTTAGTATCTAACAGTTATGAATTTAAGCTCCCAGGCTCATCTCTTGCAGGTTTCCTTTTAGGATGAGAACTGAGAAGTCAGATATAGAGTGCTTTGTGAAAAGTGTTCACTCACAGGTGATACGGTGTTTTTGGCCTGGTCTACACTAGAAAATTAAGTCAGTGTAACTACATCACTCGGATATGAAAAATCCACACTCCTGGGGGGCGTAGTTAAGCCAACCTAACCTCCAGTGTAGATAGCACTAGATTGAATGAAGAATTCTTCCATGCACTAGCTACCGCTGCTCAGGGAGGTAGACTGCTGACAGTCCTACTCTGATGGGAGAACCCCTCCCATCAGCATAGGTGGTGTCTACACTGACACTCTACAGCAATGCTGCTGTAGCATTTCAGGTGTAGACAGGCCCTTTGTGTAGTGATTGTCTTGTTTCACCCACATAATTATTAGGGCATTTAATGCACTGAATGAGGCACACCACGTTTTGTGATAGGCATGTGTAGGATCCATGGATCTTGAAAGGTATGTTGGGGGTGTGTGGATCATTGTGGCAGTGGAGATATGTCTACTAGTTTTACACCTGTTGTTCTGGTGCTGCTTTGAGGTGGTGTGTCCTGGCCTGTGGGGAGCTTGCTTCTGATGATGAGGTTGGGGGGTTGTTTGAAGGCCAGAAGAAGGAGTTCAGGAAAGATTTCTTTCAGGATATGGTCCCCATCAGATATTTTGGCACGGGGTTAGACTAGACGATTCTTGTGGTCTCTTCTGACTCTATGGTTCTATGATTCTAAGTATGGATCGTAATTGTTTAATGATACTCTGTATAGGTTCCAATATTATGTGATCGGTGATGACTACGGGTATGCGGATGGAGGGGGTTTTGTCTCCAAGCGGGTTGTCTTGGGGTATTTGAGTGGCCTGTTCCATGATACAATCTACTTCTTTGGTAGAGTGTGCTTGTTTGGTGAAGGCATTTTTAAGTGTGTTAAGGTGTGTACCCTGGACTTTCTCCTCAGAGCATATCTGAGTTCCTGACTATAGATAACAGATTTCTTGGTGAGTTTGGGATGGTTACTGGGACTGTGAAGGTAGGTGTAGCGATTCATAGGCATTTTGTGGAATTTTTTGGAAACTGCATGGCATGAAATTGTTTATTAACAAATTGGTTCTCTGTACAATTTAACATCTTTGTTCTGCAGAAATTAAGACATAATATGTGTGTTGTTTTTTTTTTCATCTTAGTCTTTCCTTGGTTTGGCTTGGATATTGGCGGGACCTTGGTCAAGCTTGTTTATTTTGAACCAAAAGACATCACTGCTGAGGAGGAGGAGGAGGAAGTGGAAAATCTTAAAAGTATCCGAAAATACCTGACCTCAAATGTAGCCTATGGATCTACAGGCATTCGGGATGTGCACCTGGAACTAAAGGACCTTACCCTGTGTGGACGTAAAGGCAATCTGCACTTTATACGCTTTCCTACTCATGACATGCCTGCTTTTATTCAAATGGGCAGCGAAAAACACTTCTCAAGTCTCCACACTACCTTATGTGCCACGGGAGGTGGAGCTTACAAATTTGAGCAGGACTTTCGCACAGTATGCATTTTTGGTTTCTATACACTTAGGATATGGTAGTGAAGTCTCATGTAACTTGAAAGATTGTAAGATAAAGGCTGAAAGTAATTTCAGTCTCTGACTTAGCCTCTGAAAAGTCTAGTGTCCTAAATTGAGCTCAAGTTTAATATGAGCTAGAAATAAGCCCATCTCTGTAAACACAGATACTTACTATTTTAAGATTGTGCAGCTTTGCTGTGACTCCAGAATTATTCATTTTAATTTCCATGAAATATGCCTTTACAAGACTTGAATAGTCATTAGAATTAAGTCAGCTCTGCTACCTACCTTAACTTTATTTTTTCCATTGCTGTCTATTCATGAGCTTAATATTTGTTTTGTACTTGCCTGGTTGATTAAGGTTCATTTATAACTTATATTGCTGTGATTTGGTTAAGATTCTGTTGAATTAAGTGGTAAATTAACTGCAAGTGACTTGCTGGTCTAGATTCATCATAAGAAGGTGTGTTTCATTATAAGCGGAATATATGTGTAGATAATATATTTATAGCTTGATTGTATGTTAACTTTTTCAAGCCCAGGTTCTACAATATATTTATCACACAGCCGAACTGTATGGGGGTTTGGTGCAATGAAAAGATTATCATGCTGCTCCCTCCTGGCTTTTGTGAGGAAGTCAGCATTTTCTCTTTTACCCTTGACCCCTTAACTTTTCCAGATGTTGTGTGGCACTCTGGGCCTGATCCAAAACCCCATTGAAGTTAGGGGGAATCTTTCCATTGGCATTTGCTCAGGACTTCTATTACTTCCTACCCAATGGGGTGAGGATGTGCATGAACCTCATTACAAATTGTCAAGCACTAAACTTAAATAGCACAGGGAGCATTCCACTCCGCACAATACAGATATATGTGGGAGAGCAGGAACTCTCTTGTGATCTGTACTCCACTCCTTCTGCCACAATTCAGAGCAAGGAGGGGTACTGAATGCACTGGTGAGTGCATTTTTCTAGCCCTGAGTATAAAAACATTAGATCTCTTCAGCTCTTTCATAATTTTATTTCCTTTAACAGATGGGTGACCTTCAACTTCGCAAACTAGATGAACTTGACTGCCTTATTAAAGGTGTTTTGTACATTGACTCAGTTGGATTCAATGGACATTCAGAGTGCTACTACTTTGAAAACCCAACTGATTCTCAAAAATGTCAGAAGCTCCCATTCAACTTGGAGAATCCATATCCTCTCCTCTTGGTGAACATTGGCTCAGGGGTCAGCATCTTGGCTGTGTATTCCAAAGACAATTATAAGCGGGTAACTGGGACCAGGTAAGATCTATAAATAATGTGATTACCTTTAAGAGCAGTGGTTCTCATTTGTAGTGGTGACTCCTTTCACATAGCAAGCCTTGGAGTGCGACACCCCCCCCTTAAATATATAAAAAATTGTTTTTAATTTATAACACTAATATAAATGCTGGAGGCAAAGTGGGGCTTGGGGTGGAGGCTAACAGCTCCTGACCGCCCCCCCATGTAATAACCTTGTGACCCCCTGAGAGATCCCGACCCCCAATGTGAGAACCCCTGTTTAAGAGCATAGTCTTGGAGCTTGGAATTTACTCGTGGTAAAAGATAGATCACATCTTCATGGACAAGTTGCTTTAAAAATGACTCTTATCTGACAGAACTTTGTTTCACCATAATATAGTACCTCCTCATTCCCACCCCCAGTAAGCAAAGGTCTTTTTTGTGGTCTGGATGGCATTTCACAATCTTCTACTTACCACAGTCAGCCTCTTCAGAAAGGCCAGTTCTTGACCTGGTCACCTGTCTGCTACTGCAAGAAACTAATTTTTTTTTTTTCATCAGAGGAGTGTAAATCATATTTTGGAAACAACCCAGGTATGCTCAAATAGATGAATTTTTAATGTGATCACTTTAATTCTAGTATTCAGGGTTTGGATTCTAACTTTTAAAAGATGTTCTACCCTTTATGAATGATGGGATGGTGTTCACAGTTCTAGTCAGGTCTGAAAGAATAATATAGCCACCTATTGTACAGCAGAGCCAAAGAGATCTGTGCATGTGAACTTTCGTGGACTTAAGGAATATTGTTGTTTACAAAAAAAGTACAGACAAGGATTGCACAGTGCACCTCAGGAAGGACAGTTTTGTTATACATCTTTGCCAGCATGTGTATGCAGTTATTCAGCAGAACGTACTTTTTCCAGGCTTTGAACAATTAGACCCAAGTTCTGCAGTGAATTCCATATGGGCATACCCGCAGATTCATGGAGCTCATTGCAGGTTGACATCTTACATTGTACACAGCTGTTTGTTCAACACTGTGTCGTGAATATTGTAAGCGGAGAAAACCCACTTCTCGTTTAAGCAATAACTCTGGGGAAGGATGCTAAGCTGTGGGTTTATCTGTGGGCTGTGAAGTTACCCGAAGGAGGCAGATTTAAATGTGGTAAGAAAGGAGACATAAATCTAATTACTCTTTCTAGATTTCCAATGAGAAGGAAATGAAAAATGCGTGGGCAGCACAGCTAATTTTTGGTATTCAGAGGAGTTTAGCTACATAACTTAATTAAAAAACAAAAACAAGCCCTTTTTTCTCCCTCTCCTCAAAGTGAGAGGTAGAAAATATCGATTCTGTTTTGTTTTATTAGTCTTGGAGGAGGAACATTTTTTGGTCTCTGCTGTCTTCTTACTGGCTGCTCCACCTTTGAAGAGGCTCTTGAAATGGCATCCCTTGGAGACAGCACGAAAGTGGATAAACTGGTGCGGGACATCTATGGAGGGGATTATGAGAGATTTGGACTGCCAGGCTGGGCTGTAGCATCCAGGTAAGGATATACCTTGGGTTTTTGAGGATGCATATAATGTGCCTGAATGAAAAACTGGGGCAGCAAGGGTATATTTTTAGCACCTCTAGTTTTTTTTTTGTAGAACTGGCACTGTGGAGAGTAAACTCACCATTCATGCACCCCCATGGCTGGGCATAGCATAGTAGGCTCTCCTCTCTAGCACACCCTACTGACAACCTCTCCAGCCCTGCACTGGTGTGCTACCTCTTGTAACTCATGTAACTTTTGGTTGCCCTGGAAGGAGTGGCACTAAAAGTCCAACAAACAATAGTCCCATGACCTCAAGTTCTGACTCAGTAGTCCTTCCACTCCCTGGTCTCTGGGGTCTTTGCACTACTTTTTCTGGTGGTCAGAAGGGGAATCCAGGCCTTTCCTCTTCTCTGGGTTCCATTCTAGGGACGCTGCATTAAGCAGGCAAGGTCTGTCTACTCAAGCCCCATTCTTCCACCCTGGGCTACTTCTTACCTTGGACATCTACAGGCCTCCCCACAAGTCAGTTCCTGGGCTCCCTGTTCACCTATGTTCCTCTCAGGATCCCTGAGGTCTTGGACTTCACCCTTCCTTCAGGGCTGTGGCCCCTGGAATTGTCCAACAAATCCCAAACCAAAAGGACAAACGTAAACCATTTCTGCCCTTCCCAGACTTGAACTTTAGTCCTTCCCAGTCTGCCCCAATACTGTGCTCCTCAAATGAACACCAACACCCAAGGACTTCCTCCTGGAGTCTTGTCTGTTTTGAAATCCACCATAGGAGCTAACTCTCAAAAACCAGTCGGAGAACACTTCAGTCTCCCTGGTCACTTGATTACAGACCTAAAAGTCACAATATTACAACAAAAAAACTTCAAAAACAGACTCCAATGAGAAACTGCTGAATTGGAATTAATTTGCAAACTGGACACCATTAAATTAGTCTTGAATAAAGACTGGGAGTGGATGGGTCATTACACAAAGTAAAAAACTATTTCCCCCTCTACTGTTACACACACCTTCTTGTCAACTGTTGGAAATGGGCCATCCTGATTATCACTACAAAAGGTTTTTTTCTCCTGCTGTTAATAGCACACCTTAATTGATGTCTCTCGTTATAGTGTGTATGGCAACACCCATTTTTTCATGTTCTCTTTGTGTGTATGTGTATAATCTTCCTGCTGTATTTTCCACTGCATGCATCCAGTGAAGTGGGTTTTAGCCCACGAAAGCTTATGCTCAAATAAATTTGTTTGTCTCTAAGGTGCCACAAGTACTCCTCGTTCTTTTTGCTGATACAGACTAACATCGCTACCTCTCTGAAACCTCTCCTTCTGTGGTTTTTCCTGATTCTCTTGCTTCACTTCAGTTGGACCAGTCTCCCATTCTGGGTCTCTTTCTAACTGATCTTTCTCTGTCCTTTTAAGGAAACCTGACTCATTTCCAGTGGACCTCCTAATTCACCTAGTTAATCTTGAATTGAGCTCTCAGGCTCTTGTTAACCCTCTCAGTACCAGTGTGGGGTTTATACCCCATCACAATAACATAAGTCTATTTTAGACCAACATTAATTGTGATTCATTGTTACTGGGTTTACGTAATAGAGGCTGTAACTACATGATTTGAATTTTACATAATTCCATTAAAAATGGTATTGTGCATTCATTTTGGAATTGCGACATTGCTTCATGCGTTCTGATACTGCATAGTTTTCTGTAAATGGACACTTAACTCTATAATTTTCTGCACAGCTTTGGGAATATGATGAGCAAGGAGAAGAGAGAGTCTGTCAGTAAAGAGGACCTGGCAAGAGCAACTTTAATAACCATCACCAATAACATTGGCTCCATAGCACGGATGTGTGCACTTAATGAGGTATTGAGAAATATGGAAAACAGCATATAACCTCTTTTTTTTTTTTTTTTCTGAGACACACATGTAAATCAATTACTCACGTGTGCCACCAGTCTGCAGTAGCTTGTTTTCAATTCTGTAGAAGCACCTTCATGCATACCTGTCCAGATGCTCTAGTTTAAATTGTAACCCTAGATTTCCCTTCCCCATATGGTTTAGGGGCCCATATGGTCTAGTCAAATAATAGCTCTACAATTCAAAGCCTTGTAAAAAAAATAATAATAATAACATGATGTGTTGTCATTTATTGGTCCAGTCAATTTCCCTTATTATTCAGGAGGTAAATTGCTTTTCTGGGAGAGTTGAGGGAACTGTGGAATAGCAATGTGTTTTAGTCTCCTGGAACTGCAGGTAGAAAGTGATAAGCATTATCCTGTTTCTTCTCAGGCACAAAATTATCATATCTTGTCCCTGCTAGGAATCCAAACTAAGTGCATCAGTGAAAAGAGAACTATACCTGCTGAAAGAGGACCTTCTGTATGTCATTTGTTCTAGTTACTCTTGCATTTTTAAGCTAATACAACGCTCATGGGCCTTAGTGGGGTTGTCTCTCTGAGCTCTGTGCTTTCAGCTTCTTTACAGTGCTGCCTTGTTGCATTCATGTCAAGCAGCATTGTACAGGGCTATGAAAGAACTGAGACCTGTTCTTCACTTTATTTTAGGGCTGTTTGAACAGGATTGAGTCCAGCAGTTTGAAGCATACTTATAACTTTCATAGTTCTTATCAGCATACAGTTACTATTCTGCACTAGTGCAAGGGCAATAAATGTACAAGGCACTATCTAAAATGGCAGCCAAAAACAGCCCTGCCCATGGTATGTTCATTTCCCTCCCTCTCGTCCCCCCCACCCACTCCCCCCTTCCTCCATGAATATAGAATCTAATGCAGACAAGGCACTGAACAATTCAGGTACAGGAAGATGTGGTGAATTCATTGGAGTGGAGAACACCATGGGAAGGTGTCACATTCTGGGGTACAATCCACACCAGTGAGGAGTTGTCACCGCTTCCCCTGTAATCTGGGTGTCTCACAATGCTTTGCTGTTGCAGCTCCCACCTTGGGTCACTCACAAACAGCCTAACAGCATACAGGTCATGCTCTGAGTGTCTCTGTATAGCCCTAGCCCAGCAGCTCTGACCCCAGCAGCCTGTCAGCAACACATAAGCGCCACTCTGACATTCAGCAGCCTAGGTTACTATTTGCAGGGTGACCACAACACACTCCCAGTCCAAAATTTTCCCTGAAAGCATTTGTTCTGCCCTCTCCCGGACAGTTCAGATATCATAGTTTCATTACCCCTGTAAGGGGTCAATATCCAGCAGACTACTATAAATGGTGTTACCAAATAGCTCAGTTTAAACACAACACTTGATTATCTTTATTTAACTACAAACAGAGAGATTTTAAATGAGTACAAGTATGAGGTCTTAAGGTCAGAAATGGTTAAGAGAGAAATAAAGATAAAACGCTTTCTAGTAATTATCGCTTAACAAACTAGACTTGGTTCAAGGTAAAATCCTTACCACATGTTCCAAGCAACAGGGCTAACCAATTTCTTAGGTCATAACCTTTCCCAAAGTCCAAAGGCTGGTTCTTTTGTCTCTTAGGTGAAAGAGAGCAAGGGAGAGAGAGAAATCATGGGGTGATTTTGCCCCTCCCTCTTATAATCCAGTTACCCTTGAGAAGTGCATTTTCCTGAGAGTTACCCCTAGATAAAGTTCTTCCCACTGTGAGGATAGAGAGTGTTGTGATGAAAAAGGTTCTATGTTGTTGGTTAAAATGCAGCTAGATCTGTTCCTGCCCGCTCCATTGCCAATCAGCTTTGAAGACACCTGGCTAGAGGCGTCAGCTTATCCTTTGTCTTTGAGAAACAGGTTTACCCCCTTCCCAGAGTTGTCTGGTAAACACATTTCAGTCATAATTTCAGTTTTATGTTCATAACTTTATATGTAATATGTCTACACACACATCACCATGATATTATTGACCAGTGAGTTACTAGTTTTCAAATGATACCTGACAAAGCATATTTTGTATAAAGATTATTTACAATGATATGTAGGGTGTGACTACAGGGGTGCATTCCGTCACAGAAGAATACATGGAAGAACAGGTTTGAAGGACCAGAGATGGTGCTCAATCATGATGCTTCAGTCACTTTGGAACCTTACATTTCTTTATTGATTGAAGGGTCAAGAAGCTGCAGAACTCCCTGCGCCAAGTAGGGAAAACATCTTTTTTTCAAGAGTATAGTTATTAAAACGTGGATGGAGATTGTTTAAACCCAGAATGTCATTCTGCAGAATCAGTGATGATGTATCCATTTCACTGCATAAGGTCACTTAAACATTTGGATTGTTCTGATTATTGGTTTCTTGATCTTCAAGCTGGTAGTGGGTGTGGAGGAAGCATACTTGCACTTTTAGTTTGCAGGACCAAAGGGAGTGTGGGAAGAGGAGTACCCTTCATTGTTCAACAGCATCCCTCTAGCCCAGTGGTTCTCAAACTTTAGCAAACAGGACCCCCATTTTGATTTAAATTTTTTCGGGGACCCCCAAGCCTCCCGGCTCAGCCCTTGCCCTGCTCCTTCCCTGGGGCCCTGCCCCTGCCCCACCCTTTCTCCGAGTCCCCGCTCCCTCCGTCGCTCCCTCTCCCCCACCCTCACTCACTTTCACCAGGCTGGGGTAGGGGGTTGGGGTGCAGGAGGGGGTGCGGGCTCTGGGAGGGAGTTTGGGTGAGGGCTCTGGGCTGGGGTTGGAGTACGGGAGGGGCTGAGGCGTGCGGCACTTACCTCGGGTCGCTCCCAAAAGCGACCAGCACATCCCTCTCGCTGCGGCTCCTAGGCAGGAGGCCAGGGGGTCTCCGCGTGCTGCCCCTGTCCGCAGGCACTGCCCCGGCAGCT